ACAGTCAGCTTGCCACCCAGTCTGCACCTGCACCCACTCGGAAAAAATACAGCCAGAGCAAGACACGCGGCCACAGCGACGCATCTCATTTCAGTTTAATATCCAGTAACCTCAAGGGATTGGGTCTATGTGTCTACCTCTCCCCGGCCACTCACTCACTATCTCATGATTTCCCCTCTCTCTCCAACCTCAGCACCTCCCTCCACCTTAACGCTGCTTCCTAATTTACCGAGACAACACCAGGAAAGAGAAGAGAATGTTCACATTTCCTGACACCACGTGTTGCTACCTGCCTGCCTTCGTGCCCATATGCCCCCTCCCCCGTCACTGTGGCAGAACAGCGCATGCCCCTTGGACCACCCTCCGCTGGGGCTCTGGAACCCACCCACCGTGCTGACCCAAGGACAGGGCTCCAGCAATTCTCCCGTTTCCCCTCTGCAGCAGCCATCTCCCCTCTTCTAGATCTTTCTCATTGGCACATGACATACTGTTACATCTACCATCTGAAATACACCTTCCAAGATCCCATTCCCCCTTCAGATACCACCGCATTTCTGTGCTGGGCTCTTTTCTAGATGACTGGTGACTTCCATCTTGCTCGCTCAAGTGGTCTGTTCTCAGTCTGCGTCAGACTTGGCTTCTAGCAAGCATTTGGCATCCACGCCCCTTCCCTCCTCCTGGATTTGCACCCTTCACTTGGCCTCCAGGGCATCACACAGCCAGGTTCTCCTCTGACTTCCCTGATTGCTCCTCCCCAGCCTCCTCTGCTGACCCCAGCCCTCTCCTGAAGTGCCCCAGCCTCAGGCCTGGACTTCTCTTCTATCTACAATGGCGCCCTTGTGGACCTCTCCCAGCCTTGGGGACTTACAGGTCACTTACTCACTGACAACTCCTCAATTTCTGTCTCAAGACTGAAGCTCTTCCCATGGAGTCCAGACTCAAATATCCAACTGCCTACCTGACATTTGTACTTGGGAGACTAATGGGCATCTCAAGTTGAGGCAAACTTGAACTCCCGATCCGCTTGCAGCTCTGCCCACCGTTGCTTCTGGCAGCTGCATCCGTCCTGTTACTCAGGCCAAAGACACTGGAGTCACCCTCGACTTCTTTCTCTCACTTCCCTTTGCAATTCCGTTTCACCTCACCTTCCCCGCTACCACCCTGGTTGGAGCCACCATCACCTGAACCGCTGCAGTGGCTCCTCGCTGGGCTCCCAGCTTCCATCCTGGCTCCCTGAAGGCAGGTCCCCAGAGGAATCTTACTAAGTCCCTCCCCAGTGCAGGGCCCTCCCCTGGCTCTCATCTCACAGGGTAAAGGCCAGAGTGCTTGCAGTGACCCACAAGACCCCGCACCATCTGGCTCCCCACCCGGCCCGCCCCTGGCTCCCTCCATCCCCATTGGCCTCCTAGATGCTCCTGTAACACAACAGGCAAAGTCCTGACCCGGGCTGCACTTGCTCCCTCACCTGCTTCACCTCTCTACTTAAATGTCACCTCTCTGCTTAAAGGAGGCCTCTCCTAGCCACCTTATTTTAAATTACACACACACACACACACACACACACACACACACAC